TCAGTAAAAAGCAGAACTGCCACTACAAAAAAGCCCTGGAGCTGCTGATGAACACAAGAGCAGAGTTAGAGCTGCTGCTTACCAAGACCAGAATGAGAGGCACAATGGGTGAGTGAGGGTGCTAGGATAGCCTCAATTCAGATGACAGGACAGGCCTACACAAGTAAAAGTGGTGGCCAAACCAGCTTTGGAAGCATCCTGAATTGTCTGATGTCTGTGGCCACCATAGTTGCCCAACTAGTAAGTTCTCACCACTCCCTTGTAAAAGCCTTGTAGGTGCTAATTTTCCACTTGACAAGAGCCTCCAAGAGGCCAGAAGCCTGAAGCACACACTGACAGCTATTTCCTATTAGATTATACTTAATGCAAAGAGGTATTTACCTACTGTAATTATCTCTGGAGCTGGAAGTATCTACAAGACCTTAGAAACCTTGAAAAAGCTAATTAATGCACTGCCATAAATAATCTGATCTCTTAGGAGGATATGTACTCTCTACATAGTAACTAACATCTTGCTTTAATGGAAAACAGGGTGATTTGCCAATGCATATCTGTATTTTATTACAGGTGTTTATCAACAATTAGAATTGGCCATAAAGAAAGCAGAAAAGAAAAAAAAAGAGAAACCCTAGCCTAAACCACAGCACATTCCTGCAAGCTACACCATCCCTGGAAAGTAAATCTAGGTCTGTCCTGTTTTGTCAGACACAAATATCTCCCGCAGGGAAGCCTCATATGAAATTAAGAGTCAGCGCAGATCATTTGTCCCAGATCCTTTTACAGTTGCAGAGATAGAAGGTTACTGCACAGGACAATCTCTTCCCAGCTCTGCACCAGAGAGGAGGCAACAGCCTGCTCTGTGCCCTCTGAAATGCGAGGAAAACCAACTGTTCCCTGTTGGAGATAAAACAGCTATGTCTGGGACACTGTCACATCAGGCTTCTCAACGGACATCATCAGCCAACACCAACTATAGTAACAAATGAAGAAAGGCTATAATCACCTGCTTAGCTAGTGTTGCTACCCAGAAGGTTTTGGCATATTCTTTTTAACACATGAGGTTATCCTTTAAATAGGTTTTCTTTTGCCCAAGTGAGGTCAGGAGAGCAATCTTTTGTTGCGGAGGTAAGCCTAGGTGATGAAGTCCGCTGCAGCAGTGTATGGATTTGAAGTTAGCCATAAGCTAGTTTAAGTGTTTTGAAAGATGCAAGTAAGAGTATCTAATACCTTATAAACCACCTAAACCATCCTAAGAAATAGTCGTTCAGTTACTTCTCTGAATGCTTAATAAGCACTCCAGAACCAGTGGTGGGACCAGCTTAGTGATCTAAAACCCAGGGCAAACCTCTAGCACAGAAGAAACACATGCACCATGTCACAGTCACTCAACACCGCCCTTTGCGAGGCAAGCTCTGCTCCCTATGATTCTGTACAAGCTGACTGGCAGCAAGGGAACAAGTGGTACTGCAAAGGTAACTGCTTGGCATCCTTCACGTGTCAGGAGCACCTTGGAACAGCACTGTCAGGAGCTAAATTGCCTGGGCAAACGTGCTGGGAGCCACCTCGGGTCAAACAGCAAAGCACCTTTAATAAACAAACCAGTTTCTGTCAGTGGCATCAAGCCATCAGTGAGCTTTCGTGTTTGAAGCTTTGCCAAAACACCAGCCCAGCCCTCCTGTGGAGAAAGAGCAGGACCTCTGAACTCCTTCTGCAAATCTATACTTTTGTAAGTGCAACCCTTTAAAAACAGCTATAGCTAGGGGTTCAATTAATTCCATTCTTTCCAGAAGACTTTCAGCTCTGTAAAATTCATGTATTATTTAAGCCTCACAGCTAAACCATGAATATTATGAAGGTCCAGCTTTTTCTGTGTGTAAAAAGAAAAGAAAGAAAATGACGTTTTGGTGAAAGATCCATGGAATAGTCCTGCAACACCTTCAAAACTGCCAGATTCACCAGCTACCAAGAGAGACTTTGGTTTTGCAGTGGGTACCTGACTATCTCCAACAACAGGTCGCTGTTTCAGCAGGGTCCTTGCTGTGCCTAACCTCAGATTCCTACTGTGGTATCAAGGGAACATCATCTGTCATAAAAGCCTCAGCCAGGCCACTTTACCCTGCATCTGCACCCCTAGCAAGATTCAGGTCCCCTCAAGGATGGTGCAGCAGAAGGCACCTGGTATTCCCTCCCAACCTGGATAACTGAAATCAGCTGGACAAAGAATCCTTATACACACACACAGGGGTCATTAGCAGACAACAAATACGTAGTCTGCAGTTACATATATATTTTTTTAACCACAGTTATCCCAATTGAGAATGTGCCAGCTTTAAACACCTAATACAACACATCAGCTTTCCTACCAGCTGCATTTTGCCTTTAGGAAAGGCCTGAGGGAAATCAGGTCTCTGGAGCAAAATAGAATCAGCTTCTCCCTGGCAGTCTCCCATGTTTGAACACTGGGGAAGCGTGTGTGATAATGAAGGAGGAGCTTCACTGGCAAGAATTTCTGTGGTCTTCCTTGCATTTGAGACTTAAACTAACACTAATGAGCAAGCGCTGCCCAGCAGAAAGTCACCTGCATGAGGGAATCTGTCTCCTCTTCACACTGGGATTACAGATGCACAGAGGCAGTCCTCCTCCTCTCAGCAACATTCTGCTCTAGCTGGGCAGCAAGCATGTAGCCAAAGCCTGCAAGCAAGTACCATAGGTATGATATAATCTACACTTTCTAATTGCCAGCCAATTAGTCAAAAAACTTGTCTTTGAAGAAATACAACCTGGATTTAAACACACCAAATGGTAGATCCTTTGTTGCTCAACAGCCACTAAGTGCAGCAAGTATAGACAAACACAACAGTGCAGTACAGAAACTGAACAGCAATCCCACCCAAGAGATCAGGCGGAGACCCAGCCAGTTCACAGCTCCCAAGTGAGCCCAGTAATCTGACTTGTTCTGATCATGGACACTGCTTTTAGGCGCCCTCGCTCTGCCTGGCTTTAAACAGAAACAGATTTTCTAGAAATCTGCATTACTGCATGTTCCAAGTGCTGTAGCTGTCAGTCAGCTTTCCCTAAGTTATTACTTCTGTGTATTCAGAGCAGTTTGGGAACTGAAGGTTGTCTTGTCACTTCCACGCTCCATAAACAGTATAGACGCTGGAATATGGTAATATTTACTCCTGCTTTGCCATCTGCTTATATATGCACATAAACCATGTGACTCCCAGAATGTGGAGCAGCAGAGGAACAGCCGTAGCTTTTCATCGCAAGATAAAGGTACAAAAATCAATACACATCTTTCCTTTCTAATGAAAAAGGTACTACTGCACAAAAGGAAGAGCATGTATAGTGAAAAATACAAACAAAACAAACGCCACGCTTTTCAGCAGAATAGACAGTCCTTGGCTTCGGCTTTTCCTGAATAGCCAGTGTGTAAAAAAATAAAAGCCCCAAACCTTCCCCCTAAATCCCTGCCGTCTTGGTTACATAACCAGTGAAAAAACCAAACAAACCCACATCCAGAGGACTAGGTTGCTTACCTTTAGATGAAAAGATCCACCTCTGCTCCAGCCAGGTTGCGACAGGATGAATGTCCCCAAACACCTGAGCACCTTGACATACCATAGAAAAACCCCAACTTTTTTGCACTGCTTTCCACTATGAAGAGAAGCTCCATTGCTCCTTCACACAACCCAGCAAAGCCCAAGGAAGGAAGCAAGCAGACACTCAGCAACATCAGCCTAACAACAGCCCCTAAACCAGGTGCTCTCCCTCTGCTCAAAACCAACAAGTACAGCCCCCACCCCAATCACCTCCCCATGCAGGTGGGGCTTCTCACTCAGGTGTTTATTGTTAAAGGCAGTGCTAAAGACAGACCTAACGTTGGGACTGTGGTCAAATAACTCTACACAGCCAAAGGAAGTGTAAAAAGCCTTTTGCTTCCCTCACCACCAAATTAATCCAAACACCCAGGCAGCGTTTAAAACAAGAGGCCACAGCCACACACAGGCTTCTACCCACACAGAGAAGTGTCCAAGACAATTTCACCACTGCACCTTTTAACAATAGAGCAAAACATGCAAGAGCTGAAAGGGGAGACCTTAGCACAGACAACTCCAGACTTGAGTTCCTCCAGTGTATTTTGGAAAAAGCTGATGAAGAAAGGTGAATTGACTGCAGGGCTGATGCCTCTGCTAGGATCTAACCCATGACATGAGAATTCTACACTCTCAGTTTAAGACACGGATTCTTTGGATATTGATGTGGTTTTTTTTTCCTTAGGGCATGAAGAGTACTGTTATGGGGCAGGGTGGTGGTGTTTGGTTTAAGGCAACCAGAAAAACCATGTCTGAAGTCAAGTTGTGTGATGCTTCATAGGAAGCTCAAATTCTCCGTGGCCAGAGGATGTCAGAAGAGGACAAGCATTTCTGCCCAGCTGGTTGTTCTCTTACAGAAAGCACTATCACACTGTTAGTTTACCAAGCAGAGCAGTTGGTTTACTGTCAGACCCCATGGACACTGAACAACTTACACCACTGTAATGCCTCTGCTATCACATTTCAACAAGTCATCTCTGTGCTGGAACAGTTTTACACACTGGTTTGGGACATTTATGTTGCTTACAACTCATCCTTCACCCAGGAGGATTCAATTTATCCCAACTATAAAAATGGGTATGTACATGGGCTCTGCATCCCATCCCACTCCCATGAAACCACTGTATCCCAGGCCACAACACAGATGTAGAGGTAAAAAGCAGATCTCAACCTGAGATTCAAACACTTTGCATCCATATGTGGAAAAACTCTCCCCAGTTAAGGTTACATGCAGACCTAAGCGCCTTTTAGTTGAAGATTGTGATTTAAGACATTTGGGGAATAAAGACAACTTCTTATAGGACTGTACTTCAACTAGAGCAGAGAGACAGTAGCTAAACCGATACCACCTATGAAAGAGAATATTCAGTGTCTGGTGTGACTTTAAAGGAATTAAAAGACTCATTTTACAGTGCATTTTAATTAAAAGTTCATTATAAGAATTTTCTTTTAATAACAGCATACTACATATTAATGGAAATATGTAACTTTACCCTACAAATGGGACTGTCACCATATTATTCTTACAATTCAAACATATGAAAAATAAATATGATATTTAGCTTTATAAATTCCCCCCCTTTAAATCCTTTTTCTTTTAAATAACAAAAGTAATAACTCTTTCCCATTACAGTGCATTTGCTATCCGCGAGCCACAAACCAAGTAGTCACATCAATGCCAAGGAAACAGCAACACTGCAAAATATTCAGAGAAAGTGATAAAAAAATATAGTAGTCAGCCCAGTGCTTACAGAAGAGACAATCAACAAGAATTGAAAAAACCAGCACATTTTCATATTACATAAGACCATTATAATAACATAGAAAACAGTGCAGAAGACTTATGCTGGAAAAATATATAGCAATTCTCAGCAAGCAGGAACTGAACTTTGGCACTTGCTCATAGAAAGGCCTTTCAAAGCAACCCAAAATAGAAATTCACTTAGTCACAGCCTGTATATTTAAAAAAATAAAGACATTGACTAAAGCAAGAGAAACAATAGAGAAAAGTTTACAGGCCAGGTCACTACAAATTCAGTACATTCATCCTACAGAAAATAGTCTTTCATCTATCCATCTGTGCTGGGATCCTGGCTAGCAAAAGACAGGCTTTGGGACAGAACCTTACCTGAAGCATCTCTGTTTCAGTGGGGCTATGCTTATTACACAGACCTCTTTAAACTCAGCTAGAATAGCATATCTCAGATACATTACATTGCCTCCTTATCATAAAACAAGGATTTCTAATCTGCAAATTAAAAAGCAAGACCCTTGCACTCAGACAGTGGCTGTTCAGCTCTACCCATAGTTGCACCATAACCACTGTAGTGTAAGGACGAAGTGATTTCTTTAAAAAGGGCTAAAAAAGAATGGCTTCCGTTCAAAAGGGAGACGATAGACTGGAAGGGAGGATTCACATGTAGCGTGTTCATCTCAACGCTTTGCCAGCACTGCATATGATCAAAGGGAGTACTGTAGTTAATGTGTGCATGGCTGTTTCCCTCCCTGCCAGAAGAGCTGATGTACTAAACTCAGGCCTAACCAAAAGGCTGCTGCAGGCCAAAGCATATTTTTGGATCAGGCCATAAAAAAAAACACGGGCTGTGCTAGCCAAGAAGTGCTTCTTTCAGTGTAAGGCTCAACGCCCCCAACTAGCAGCTATCTTTGCACTGAGGCAGTTTACTCAATTTTTTTTACTCTTTTGAGGAATTAAGACTGGGGAAGGACAGAGAGAAAAATAAGTGCTTTAGATTGCACAGAAGATTGTCCTACTAAAGGGGGCACTTGAATGGGAAATAATTGCAGCTATAAATCTAGCAGACGCTCTTCACATGTCTCCACAGGCCATTTAGTAGCACCTCCAAACACATCAACGTTGTTATCAACCCAGGGTATGATGTTGCCAGGCATGTTGGTAGAGCAGTTAGCAATATTCATGATGTCTTCAGTTTTTAAGACCCTGTCCCATATATTGAACTGGCTCATCTCTCCAACGAAGGCTTGAGTTGCATCAAATCTTCCTCCTACTGTGTCCTTTAGGCACACAAGAGTTATGATTAGATGAGAAGATTATTTCAGCATTTTCTTTTTCACAACTTGACGACCCTCCCCCCAAGCCACACTGCTAGAACGAGGTGCAGAGCCAGGTCACAAACAACTTCAAGGTTCTAAAAGGACTACTTTGAACAAGATATTCTGAGGAACATTTAAAAGCTTCAATGTGAAATTTGTCAAAACAATTCAAAGCAAACAGTGCTTTGTGCATACCATCACACAAAGCACATATAACTAACCCTGCCCCCAAGCAGTAAAGCAGGAAGACAGCTTTAAATATTGAGGCTAATTTAGGAGCCATTTTGCAAGGTTGGCACAGGACAACTTCAGCAAGAACTGCATAGATATGCAAGATCACTGCAAAAGCTTTATGGCTAAGGATTAAACTGTAACCACAGCCCTTGACCAATTGTCTGCAGGGTCTCCAAGATGCAGTCTTTACTTCAAAATACATAGGCTTCTTCTGGTTGTACCAAATGACTAACTCAGACTGCTACTGCATATGCCTAAAAACATTTGCTCCATCCACTGCTCAAGGACAAAAATCACACATTTTGTGTGATCACACTCACATGAAACTGCTAGCATAGGACAGAACCAAGCATAGTACAGACAAATAGCATGAGTTACAGAAAGCCTGCCAGCCACTTAACAGTAAGCTGGAGCATCTGCTACCACTAGAAGAGAGATACTGAGTTGCTGGAGAGGGTCCAGAGAAGGGCAACAAACCTGGTGAAGGGTCTGGAGCACAAGTCTTATGAGGAGTGGCTGAGGGAACTGGGGAGCTTTAGCCTCGAGAAGAGAAGGCTCAGGGGGACCTTATCACTCTCTACAGCTACCTGAAAGGAGGTAGTAATGAGGTGGGCATCAGTCTCTTCTCCCAAGTAACAAGTGATAGGACAAAAAGTAACAGCCTCAAGCTGTGCCAGGGGAGGTTTAGATTAGATATTAGGAAATATTTCTTCACCAAGAGGGTTGCCAAGCATTGGAACAGGCTGCCCAGAGAACTGGTGGAATCACCATTCCTCAAAGTGCTCAAAGACTGTGTAGATGAGGCCCTCAGTTACATGGTTTAGTGGTGGAAGTGGCATTGCTGGGTAAAGGTTGGACTTTATGATCTTAAAGGTCTTTTCCAACAGGACCAAGTGTTTAACAAAATTTTCCTCACTGCTGCTGTTTGGGGAGTTCTGAGTTTATTTTTTTAAACCCTGGAATACATTGTCATTCACTCACCTGTTCCTGACCCAGGATCAAGACACCTCCAGGTTTAATTGGGTGCCAAGGAGCAAGATTCTCCCCAGTCCCAAGCTTCTCACCATCTTGAAAAGCCTCCCACATTCCGTCTCTGGTTGTCCATGTTATACAGACATGGTGCCATTTCCCATCACTAATGAAGAGAGGGAGCTGGGCAACCTACAAAAACCCAAAGAACAATGCATGTTGCAAGCCAAGCCTACCAGCTCAAGCACAACGGTTGGAAAGAGACAGTATTTACTCTGTCCTCAGAAGCAAAAACTTCACAGGCAGAAGTTAGTCCCCATCTTTCTACTTTGTTCCAACTCTCCTGTATTCAGAAACACAGCCATACTTTTTATTCTAGAGGTGAGCCTTTGTTTCATCTAGAATCAAGTGACACAAATACCAGAGCCTAAGCTACTACTACCCCCTGAGCCTGTATATTAATGTGGCACCTGTTGTTTAAATCTGTGATTAGTCCTTTCTTCACATCCAGTGCTCATGTAAAGTTTCTCTTAAAATCTGGGGTTTGCCAGCACCATTTGCAGTAACAACTCTGACAAACGAATCTGCTTGCTTCCAGTAAGACTTACGGGAAATGTTACATAGGACCCCAAATAAGGAGGAACTATGCTCCTTTAGGAATTGGACCTGAAAACTTATTCAAGGCAACATAAAGACACAAATGCAGTGGGGTGTGGAGCGGCAGTGACATAGGAGAAGAAAAGCCTCACAGAACATTAATAGTACTGACAAAATACTGAAGAGAGTAAGTTATTGCTAAAGATAAGCAACCTGAGGTTTCCTCCTTTGCCACAACCCATTAGAAATAATTGGCTTTTCACTTTTATTGATTTTGGAGGATGATAAGGCTGTTAAAAGTGCTTAACTAGCCACATGACTGAACCACCCTGAGCTGTAGATCTGTAAACACCTCAGAGAGATCCCTCAGAGAGAAGCGAGTTACTAGGGAACCCAACTGAGGGTGGGGAGAAAGTGATTTGTTTTAATGCCAAGTTACAATGGGTCTTGTTTTCCTCAAGCCTTATTCTGAATCCTGTCAGAAACCATCAGTGGTATGAAACAGTGTGAGACAATTGTGCTTTTTGTAATTAAAGCCTGAAAAAATTGTATTTAAACAGATGTTCAGTCACTAAGCATAAAACCCCAGGCACAACTACATGCCTTTTGCTTTACATCTTCAGCAAGATTCCTCTTAACATATCTGAACTTCTAGGATTAGAAAGATAGAAATACTGCAACTGGCTTAGATATCACAGGTTTTGCAGTAGTGGAGCATCAAATATTGCTTTTGTGTCATAAAACAAGAAACAAGATGGGCTTGTAAATTCAGAGAACATGTATAAGTGCATGCACATCTAGATGTCTCATCACTTTGTCTAAGCACACAAATACATGTGCCGTTCAACTTTGCTTCAAGTACCTTTATGAACTTGAAACAAACAGATGGACAACAACATTACCATCTCAAAGGCCCAGAACTGGCTTCTCTCAGAGAATGAAAGTTACTAGAGAGGTATCAAGGGGGTGGACTTTATTCTGATTACACAGACAATAAAGAAGAGTTAATCAATTCTCACCTTATCATTGATTAGCAGTTCAATTGGATTATTCCCCCACTCTATAAGGACAATTTCATTAGCCTGCCCAGGAACAGCATATGAGAATGGAGTGCCAATTCCAGGAGATGCACTTGATCTCAACCACAAGCATACAGTAAATGCATAAAGCTCTGGCAGAGTCTTCTTGATCTTCCCATATAAGTAGTTAGTGCGAAGAGGAAGGGAGACTTTGAATTCATCAGGTGACTTAAATGCACTGTTACCTAGAATTACATTGAGGAAGAAAAACCTTTAACATTAAGCAAAACAATGTATTTGTAATTCAGGCTAAGAAATTATGTAATTGATAATGAGAATCTTTGGAATTTCAATCACTTTAGAGAGGTACACAAGAAAATTATATTGAAGTAGTATTACTGAATGCTGATTTTGCAGCACAGAAAAACACAGCTAGATGCAACACATTGTGCTAATTATTTATTCTTCCTGCTCATTTAGAGCAAAAGAATAGATGGCAGACAACTAACAAGAATCTGTTAAATATTTTCTTTCTTCATTGCTTAGTTCATGGCTAGAGGCCTGCCTATTTCAAACAATTCTAACTGCTTTAAGAGATATGTACTGTTACTAAACATGGATTCTCTGGTATGCTCATTATTAAAGCATCACAGTGCTTCAAAACCAGTATTTCTTTTCCTACTCCTGCTACACAGGGAGTTAGCAGCAGCATCTCCATTTTACAGATAGCAGGCTGAGAAACAGGTTAATGCTCCCATTTTGGGTGGCCGATCTGAAACATGAAAAAGCTGCCACAGTCCAGAGAGCAAAGTTAAATTCAGCAGAACCAATTTCTGTCCCACAGACAAATCAGAAGATCTAACAAAAACATACAGCTGAAGTTCAAAATTACCTGAATTAAAAAATGCAATATGAACTTAGGAACTATGAAAACATTAGAATTAATTTCAATATAAAAGCAGAAATTCTTAGTTAGCTTTTTCTAATAAAATGTGGTAAAAGTGAGATGTCCTAGAGACGTTTATGAAACTGAGAACCCTTAAGACCAAGGCTTTCTAAACCTGCAATACTCTGTATTATATAGTTCATGTATACTTCTGAAGTAGTTGCTTCAAGTAATTTTCCAGAATTAAATATTAAGAGAAATCCCACATTGTGCCACAAAATAAAACCCCACAGTTCTGTAGTAGAGTGTCACCCTCAACTTTTTAGCAACCTGTTCTTCCAAGTCCCACTCACTTCATTTACTCCCATTCCTGAAATGAATTCAATCCCCTCACAGAAATTCATGCTCCAATCCAAATGAAGAGCTGTTGTCACAAAAGGTTGCCACAATCCCCATATGTAATTTTTAAACCGTTGGCATTCTCTCAGTACCCATTCTCAGAAGCAACTAAAGTGTTTTGACTGCATTTTTCACAGAATGAGGGGGTGGAAAGCTTATCTGATGCTACATCTGTCTTTAGGAACATACAGACCAGAAACTGAGATATTCTAAACTCTAGGCAAAAGAACCCCAGGATCTTAAGACTAATGTTAAGCAACCTCCACTAGGCTGGTACAACCAATCTTACATCCATAAAAGAAACATATCCCATTAAGAGTATTAGTCACTCGGAAAGAACTTAAGGAAGCAATAATGGGTTGGAAAGGAACAAACAATATTCACGATTTTTGTATTTTTCATTTTGTTCTCATGACTTGAAAACATCCACAACTCCAAATGATAACAAGATCCTCCAGAGCAATGCGCACATGCACAGGATAAGACAATCCTTTTGCTATATAACGTGAATTTTTGGACAAAATAAGCGAGAAATAGTTATTCCCTTTTCGAGATGGAGAAAACAGGTTTTGACATAAGAAGTGACCTGTTTGTGTCTCCAGCAAAGCTAGAAATCACATTTAAGTCCAGGCACTATTAGTTACAGGATTATTTCTCCGCAAAGTCCTGCTTTTTAATACATCATTTACCGCTGCCAATGGAGACAACTAGTGAAGGAATTACGAGAGACTTTGGGAATTACAATAACTGTACAAACTTCAAACTCTTCTGCCCCACTGTTAACTAACAACAGCTGCCTCAACTACCAAACCCCAAAGTTCAGAGCATCACCTTATAAAGTTAGCTTTTTCCTCCATTTATTTGGTCTTAAGACAATGGAGAGCTTATGACACTCTAGTTAGTTGTCAGGAAGAAATGTGAAACAATCTGGCATGTAAAATAAAAGCACAATAGAAATACTTTTTTCAAAATAGGTCAGATCACTTCAAATATTATCTGTATTTAACCTACAAAATCAGTAAGTTCTTACATCATTATTACCCTCACTTTGATTTGACAGAGAACTCAAACGAACAGAGCAGCTAAATCATGCTGAAAGAGAGCAAATTACACAACTAAAAGCCTGTGTCTTGGTTTCTGGCCCAAGTTCTTCTCTTCCCTCAAGACTTAAGACAGCCCACTCTCCCCACACAAAAAATAAAGGTGGGAACAAGCTATTTTTAACATAGATTACACATTCTTGTTCTCCCACCCCTCCCTGTCTCCTGCTGAGGACTTGCCGATATGAGTCACATCTTTCAGAGACAAGGACTAGCAATACTTGCCACATAAGACATCAACATGCCATGAATTCTCCAGATCTTTATTTGTGGTTTAGGTTTTATCTTGGCTCTCAGGAAATACTTTGACAGAGCCAAAGGAAGGGCTCTTCTTCCTCTTTTCCCCTCCTTCACACTTTGTAAATGAAAAAATGGATACAATATTACACAAATGGATCCATTAGGCTGCATTTTAAAATTCGTGATACTTATGTTTGCACCACTGAGAAAGCATGCCCATTAAGCTGCTTTTAAGCAGAGAGACTATTCACCTTGGAAAAATAATTTAAAGATTGGGCAGTGATATTTACTGGTACACCAGTCCTACAGTCTACTCTGTAGAAATATATAGTCAAGACAGAGAGATAGCTCTGTTCTTTAGCTCACTTCCATGGGCATTTGTAATTCAAATAAACAGACTCTACTCAAGCATAGAGATCTCTGTAACAATTAATCTAAGTATCTGAATCAATGACTGGGATTAAGAGAGCATCCCCCAGTGGTACTATGCGTAATCTACTGTAAACTCTGAAGGCTATACACTTGGGCTATGACACAGTTCAAATATCTGCAGTTATCCAAAGTTATAACCAGCAATGAAAGGAAAGACCAACAGTAATACTTCCAAAGCAGCAGGAAATGGTTCTGGTATAAAATGCCATTTGTTACATCAAAGGCAGCTGTGCTAATTAACTTTTGCCCATATGATTTTCAGTCCAAATAAAGGCAGCTCTACTTAGATATGGACTTGACATTATTTAGGTCTTTACCTGACACCAATGTCATACTTTCTTCCTATTTCCATTTGCCTCCTTATAGAGCCTTCTGTCCCACAAACAGTAAAGGGCTTCATCCTAACCACCTACATATGCCAAATTAAGAGACAGAAAGCTAAAGCCATGCAGAGGTCTGTCAGGCAGGAAGCCTGTGACAAAAGGAAAAGGGAATCCAAGTATTTGCACTGTCACCTACTATTTAGTCCAGCACCTTAACTGTCTTGCCCTGAAAGCCCACATTTAGACTAATGTGGTAGAAGGAATAAACAAAATTAATCAGCACAGGGAAGCTTTTAGATTTTGGACAGATTACCTTTTTCTAATTCAGACACTCTTTCTAGCAGCGCATTCAAGGCTGTCTCAGTCTTCTGCCGATGGGCTGACGTCTCATTATGAAGCAAAGACTTTTCATCCTCAAGCTCAGCCACTTTGCTCAGGAGTTGGCGTTCCAGGTCTCCCAGCCTTCGCTGAAGCATCTCTCGAAGGTCATTAGGCAGTGCTGCGTACGACACATTGGCTCGGAGCTGGTGCTTTAGTAGAAATAAGAAGGAAAAAAAAAAAAAACAAAAAAATTGCCATTTCTAAACCAGAAACTGTGAAATAAAGACATGCTCTTGATTCAAAGGGGAGAAAGCAAGATCTCAGAGTTCTCCAGCAAGTACAAAAGAGGCATTGCTTTCCATCACTTGTAACATTCAGTGCTTTTATCAGCAGTGTAGCTAAACAGGTCCTGAAACAAAAGGGCACTTTTGTTAGAGATTTTCAGGGTTTCATACAAAGCAGTCTTCATACATTTAAGTTCAGTAAAAATTAATGTAGGGAGCCAAGTCTAATGCACTCCCATTAGTATGTACATGTGGCACATTACACAATTTTTGGTTTACTTACTGGAAGTGACATTGGCGGCCTAAGTTAACAGAAAAGGACTATTATTTCTTTTTAAATAAGAATTTAGGCTACTTCAAAAGCAAATCTACCAAATGAAAGTTTTCTCAGTTTTGATTTGCAGAATAAGGAAATCAGATGCTCCTTAGGTCAGCTGTAAATTTTAGCCACTCAAAAAAACCACCAACCCTCAAAACCCCAAAGAAACAAAACCCACCCCTCACTCTCTCAGATAACACTGGTGTCTTTAATGATGCTAAGAAACCAATGATTCCACCCACCGTATTATTCTAGTAGAGTTGCTCGTCTACAGCCCTAAACCAAAGATGCCTCACAAAGACAGCAACAGTAATAAAGGGGTGTCACACTACCAGATTGCTCAAAATTGTACTTGAAAGACAGCCCAGAGTGTTCAGACCTCACAGAACAACCTTTAGGAAGTTACCTGCCATCCTCACATCATTGCCAACTGCTTGGAGGGCAGCATGAGGACACACATGTCCTCATATGACTGAGAGTGTGGAAAGCAAAACAACATCTAGCAAGATTCCTGTGGGAATACTTTCTATAAAATATTTCCATGAGTTCCACTCAACTACAGGCACTGTCCAAAGGCTTGTGGAAATCACCTATTGGTAGGCTTGGACCAAACACCCCTTCTATCCAAACACAATGAGAATTAGGTTGCTTTTATTCTATGCCAGCTCTAAATACATCATCTGATCTTCACAATCTGCCCAACACAATCTCCTCATCACCACTGGTTTGTTCAGCACCATATGCTAAGGTCTTTCTGCCCAAGACGTCAGCTGTATAGCTCAAACCCCATGAAGTCACATTCCCAGAAAGAGAGATTTAGACATACTAATACAGAAACTAAGCTGGTGACAAGGAGGAAAACCATAATCCCACCCCACACAGTGGGAGAACACAGCTACAGAGGGGCCCTTTGGGAATTTTAACCATTGAAGCAAGCAGATACACAGTCAAGAAACAAGGCCAACCATGCAACTTGTTCCCAGAGCTTGGCCAGTTGGGATTTAGCTCTATCCCGATTAAGGACAGTAGCTGTGCCCATCAGCTACCCAAAGCCATACCTAACTCGTTCCACGTCCCTATGCGGTGGGCAGGGGTGTCCCTCCCCGGCCCTACCTCTAGGCTCTCCAGCCGGTCCTTCAGGGTCTGCATTGTGCGGCTCAGCTGGTCGATGACCTGAGCCGGGTCCCGCGGCAGGTCGCCCATCGTGTCCTTGCCCTTCCCCAGCTCGCTCCTCCACGTCCCCGTAGCGGACTTGCCGTCGGCGCTCTCGCACCGGCTCAGCTTGCCGGTAAGCTCCCGGATGGCCTCCCGCTGGCTTCCGATGGTCTCCTTCTGCTGCAGGACGGTCTCCCGCAGCTGCAGGACCGTGGCTTTCAGCTCCTCCTCGGGGGACAGCGCGCCACCCTGCATGGGCACCGGGGGCAGCGGGCAGCCCGCGCTGGTCGCCTCCAGCGGCAGCGAGGTGCACACGAACCGACTACCGGGTGGGCTCTCCTGGGTGCCCGACGCCGAGCCCCGGGCGCCAGCGGCTACGGCGAGCAGGAGCCCGGCCACCACAGGCAACATCCCGGCTGGTGACGGCTCGGAGGGGACACCGGGACGAGGGCCGAGGCGGCGCCGCGCTGACAGGGGAGGTGAAGCCGGCCCCGCCGCCCCGTCCCGTCCGCTCCGCTCCCCTCTCCACACGCCGCTCCCGCGCCCGCCGCCGTCCCACGGCTTTTATAGCCTGAGAGCGCGCGTGGAGGGGGCGGGGCCCGGCTCGCGCCGCGTGCGCTGGTTGGCTGCAGGCAGCGCTGACGCCACGCGGTCCCCGGGGCCGGGATGCCGCTGGGGGGACACGGCCGGCGAGGAGCGGGAGGAGGATGCGCTGGCACGGCCGGACGTGGATCCGGACGGGGACCTGAACTGCTGTCCCAGCGCTTTGTCCAGCCGGGGGGCGGCCTGCAGAGCCCACCTGCCAGTCTGTGCCCACCTGCCAGTCTGTGCCCACCTGCCAGTCTGTGCCCACCTGCCAGTCTGTGCCCACCTGCCAGTCTGTGCCTCTGGCCCAAGGGCCGCACGGGGAAAACGCTGCTCCGCATGTCCAGTTTGAGCCCCTCTCCTGCTTTAGCTTTTACCCGTTGTCCCTTGTTCTCACACCACATACCGCAGCGCAGAGCCTGGCTCCATCCCGATGATCTCCTCTGATGGACTCGCTCCAGCATGTCAAGGTCCTTGTACTGGGGGGTCAAAACCGAACACGGTAGCTCCATGTGATCCAGGCAGAGACAAGTACAGGAACAGCATTAACCCTCAAACCACTTCAAACACAGCCTGGGTTCTGCCGGCCTGGGCCAGTGAGCTAGTTAAGCTAAAAGGTGTCATTACAAAAACGAGATACAGTTCAAGTGATTGGCCAGTATTCAAATTTATGATGGAGGGAAAGGGACATTTTGAGAAATTTTTGTAGAGTACCATAAGGCTGTTGTTGGACCATAAGGTCTTTATAGGCGTAGCTACATTGTTTGTGCTATACAGTATTTTTAACACTGATACAGTTACTATAAATTTATAATCTCTGAGGGCTTGTATCTTTTCCCAAATGCCCTACAAACACCAACTTGAACAGTTCTTGCAAACTTCTTATGGATATGCAATGAGAATGGTTACCTCTACTAGGAAAACAGAGAAACAATTTCCTCATGCATCAGCAGAGGCTGCTCTTAGGACTCTAAAACCCTGAAGTAGAATTTTAAATTTTTAGAAAGTTTATCTATGGAAATTGAAGCCATTTTACCATAGGGTCAGTAGCTCTTACTATGAAATATGTAACATTTTAATAATAATAAAAATAGTAAAGAATTCATAATTGGAAAGATTTTTAGCTTTTTTTGGTCACCGTGTGAATTGCTGTGTTACAGAATGAGTTAGCAAGTTTGAAGGAGCACGTATCACAGTGATAGTTAAATCTGATTGCTTTGTGAAGTCCAGTTTATTTGTTCAACTCCTTCAGCAATGTCCTGTTTGAAAGTCACATTAATCAAAGCTGACTGCAGACACATCCTTTGGCCATGCAAGTGAGAGATGCAGCTCATATTGCTTAAGCAAGGAGAGAAAATATAGAGGATGGAGGGAGCTCAATAAGTGACTGGAAGCTCCAATTTCTGTCTGAACTCCTTTTGTCTGGAAACCAGGTCTCAAGAGACTGCTCTGCTTCCTGGTTGAATGGAACTGAAGTATGCAGTCAAATACAGAGGCTCTGACTAATTCCTGGTTAGACATTTAACTCCCATTGAAATCAACAGAATATCATTGCTTAATCATTTTGCTGATTAAAATTCTGGATGCTGCAATGAGGAGGACCACGCAAGTATATTGGGGACACCTCATCTGTCATCACAGTGTCTTTCCAGTCCACATAAGTCCAAGAAATATTAAAGTCTGTATGCAGTAATGTACCTAAATCTTTGCTCAACATATCAAAGTATTCGGTCACATCTGTATAGGTCATTTCTCCTGAATGTCATGAGAAACAGCATGAAAAAACTTAGTAAAATCATTGTAAAATGGTGGCTTTGCTTATCCTTAAGGCCTGTCACCCTACTGTAGGACAACAGTACTATGTTGCTTTTATACAGCTTGATTCCATCCCCTATAATAGGAATTGTGATGGTACCCTATAAAAAGAACCTCATACTACCTAAAAACTGATCCTGATTTTAAAACCAACTTTACAATTCAGAGCTGTACCCAAACAGATTTTGACTCAGTGCATGACAGTGATAAAGGTATTGCTTCCTTTTAAATTCAAGCAATGTGTAGCTTGAAGATTTTGCTTAATTATAGGTAGATTTTTGTCACAGTCTCTTATTCAGGCAAGCTGAGAAGAAACATAAGCAGCAGAAAGCAATAAACATCAGCCTTCTGAAGTTCTGTAAGGTATGCAGTGGTAAATTGCTCATGACATCAAAAGTATTGTCCTTTATTACTATACTGTTTCTTTTTGACAGGGGAGGTGAGTAGAACAGGAAAGAATCCCAACAAAGACACTCAGAAATGTCAGTTACCACACAGTGGGGGCATAAATGCGGAGGAAGGGTGGACAAACATAGAGACAGGCAGGAATTATCCATCGTTCTTAGAATCACAGAATGGTTTGGGTTGGAAAGGACCTTAAGACCATCTAGTTCCGAACCCCCTTAACATGGGCAGGGACACCTCTTAACATCCTTATTATTTTCTTTCACTGTGGTACTTCAGTGCTTTCAGGAAAAAAAAAACATCAAACACCACAAATTACCCCACTTCACCCCACTTCCAGATTGTGAAACCTAAATCTAATGCATGTAATAATTTATCAAAATGCTGTTTGTGACTGCAGCCAGTGTTTTTTTCATGTTGAAGGCTTATCAGTCTTCATTTAGAGACTAGCATGCAGCAGTACATTATCATAAATAGTAAGTCATAAACTACTAAATATTTGAGAAAGTCTATAATTTATACTCCCATATATCACATGTTAAGGCATAAGCAAGCTGAATAGTTGATAATTTGAGATGTTTAAAAAAAGGAATATTTTTTTCCCTTGTGACCAAGATGAGCAGTTCATAGGCACAGTGATTATATTTCACTGTGGCATAAAACTCAATTGGGGTAGAGGGGGAAGCCCAGCGAGTACAGATAACTTACTAATGCATTTGAGAGGCTGTTAAACTTCTGGCTCGGTGGCTGTCAGGCAGACTCACATCTCTGCAGCCCACAGAATGGCTTTTTAATTTTTAATTCAACTTTGACAGTTTCTGTTGCTTTCAAAAGGGCTTTATTCTCTTTGGAAGCAGTATTTGCATGCTAGCTGCTATCTGTCTTTGATGCGCAACTGTAATATCTAATACTGGAACTTCAATATGTATGGAAAATGCATTTGGATTCTCCACATATATAAAATTCTTGTATTTAGGATGAAGGACTGGAATTCAGGAGATCTGACAGAGAACTTTGCCAGCTCACTTCTCTCTGGCCACCATCACTAACACGATCTTGCAAAACTTCTAAATAAATTAGGAGACTGTGCCTCATTTTTAAAGTGTAGCCTAAGTACATGAACGGCAGTGTACAACAAACTTTAGATTAAAGAGAGGCTTCTTATTTTGTTGATACTTTGGGTTTGTTCCATTCATTATTATTCAGATGTAAAACACTGGCCTAATTATCTGAAAGGCTCAACTTAGCCTAGACCTGCAGATCCAGATTTAGATCCTTTGTACAGGTGATTTAGAAATTCAGTTCTTCTTGCAATGGAAGTTAAGCATTTAACTGCCTAGTGAAATTGTCAAAACAGCTAACTGCCCATCTTTCTCAGATGCATGTAAATGTTACAGCCTGGCCCTAGGGACGTTTGAAAAACAATCTTTAATTTCTCTGCACCTCGTTTCTCTGTTTGTAACATGAACATATTATTCCCTTTTTCCCTCCAGCCTTTCTCAGCTTTTAAACTCTCACCAGAAAGAAACCATCTATTCCTGTATGTGAATCGCAATGGGACATGGTCTCACCTGATGCTTATTATTTGTATCAGAGTAGTGTTTATATGAGCTAGGTTATACTAGTTTATTTAATCCATTTTCTTTTAAGAAACTGCTACCTGGGCTGCCATTTACAACTGCCAGAAGCTTAAATAAATAAATGAATAAATGACTAATTCCTAAAGCATGAATCACTTTGTCAAAAAAGATGAATTTCACTTGTACCATACAAGTCTAGCAAAACTATAGAACTATTCACCAGCAATAAAGCTTGAAATGCTGAACTTCATTCAGTATTCTTAACATGTTTGCTGAAGTAATTGGATATGAACAGGCTCTTTCTTAATCTTTAATACTTGCTTCTGAATGCATGAAAGTCTCCTGGCTACTGATTAGAGATGTGCCACAAAACTGAACTCCAACATTTTTAAGCATGTTTCAAGAAACTTGGTATCTGGCAAGTATTGGGCAGGGGGAAGAGAGGCAATCAACCAGTTACAGGAAAAGAAATACGAAACTTGCCTAAAGAAGTTAAAAGACACAGCGTCCAGGGATATTGCAGCATGAGGATTTTGTTCAACATACTTTAGATGTTCTTAATATTCCCATCTCATATAGCTTTTATGTGCAAAATACAGATAGAATGTTAGAAGAAACCAATCATTAAGAGACATACTCCCTTTTTTCTTTCCATATCCTAGGCTGGTCTATGAAAATCATAAATGAAAAATATATTCCCTTTAAGTCAACAGGATTTCTGCCATTGACCTGAATAAATTCAGGATTTCTCTAGATCATCTAAATGATACATTCCTTTTCTGAGAATCATGAATTAGAATGATCTTCCTTCTAACAGAAGGAAAACAGAACTTACTGTAGAAGCACTCACTGCAAAAGCTAATTTAGAGAGATCCATTGCAGGAAGTTTCAAAGAGCATCAGATACTTAAAAGAGAACTTACTGCCTCCAGCAATCCCATATGCTGCTGGTGACTAAAGGACAGGAACAGGAGACTTTTCCAGGAATACACAAGAGCTGCCTGTCACCCTGATGCTAATCACCAACCAGTGAAACTGCAGGTCAGCTGCTGCAGG